TTTTCAATCTTCTCTTTTGTACAAGACTTATATATCTAAATGACTAAATATACCAAAGTATCAAATTGAAAAATTACCACTGGTTATATATCGGTGGCTGTGCATTATAAATAAATCATTTTTCCGTCCGAGCACTTCCGTTAATGATTTACTGGCGATCGGCGTCATTGGTCTCGATGCAGTGGATTAAGAGAACATTAAAAGATTAAAAAAATAGTAGTAATTATAATAAATCGCTTTTACTCTTCGAACAGCAAAGGTAGGTACTTTGTCTTTGTTAGACGACAGAAAATAAAATAATGCTGTATCACCGCGTGTCTCGCGAGAATATTATATTATAATTATTATTGTTTTCGTTTTTTTCTAAAAATATATGTTATAATAACGCAAAATTATTAATAACAGTTTTTTTCGTGTCGTTTTCATTCGACTACCGTAAACCCGCAAAACGTTCACGTGCACGCTTCCTTTATAATAATATAATATAAGTCTCCTGTATAGTCATGCCGTAAAACATAAACGTATATAATACTCAGCATACATTGTAATATTATATGTTATCCGTGCATAACTAAAACCAGTGATTTTCTAAACTCTATTGGATTTGTTTACTTTTCAGTCGTACTGCGCAGCGTGTTATGCAATAGTCGTTTTATGTGTTTTTATATTTAGGTTAGGTTTAGGTTTTGGTAAAACATTGATCGTGTAAATAATTGATTATACCCGAAACGGTTACAATATCAAAAAACATAATATACAATGATTTTTATTAATTTTTTTTTCTGAAATTTTTCATCTTTTGAAAATATTATTAAGATACAATAATATTATTAATACAATACAGTTTAATAGAGAGAGAAAACTAATTATATTCGACCAATAAACGAATTGAACCGTAAACTGATTTTGATTAAATTTTATTTATTCGATAAAACGATCAATTATGTCAAAGAATACGAATTCCCAACGACATGACAGTAAGAACAATAGGATATTAGGATATTTTATTTTTTTTGTATTCTACGATGTTGAAGCATTTTTTGTTCTTGGGAAATTGGAAAAAATCGCAGAACTGTGATTGTTACTTATAAAAACACAATAACGATCAATACATTTAGTATAAATTCTGATATTGTACCTAGTATCTACTTATTATTAATTATTGCCTAAAACACTAGTCTGATTAGACTGTCTGCTTTGAAAAATTTCTAACTCACTTATTTGACCTTTTGCGGTGTGATTAAGTAAATTAATTTATATCCATTGATCAAATTTAATTCCATTGTAATTATACCTAACATAATTATATGAAAATTTAATAAATAGCATTTCATAAAAATTCTATTCACGAAAAACATTTACTGTACTTATAACAAATGAAAAACCGAAATTAAAATGTAATTTATTTTAGTCATAAATAAAATTCGATTGCTTCTCAAATTAATTATGGAGTTATTCGTCCCTTAAATAACGTGTTAATTAGATACTTATTTGCTTTAAATTGATTTTAAGCAACTCCTATTAGTCCTATTATATTATATATATCTCTATATATTGTATAGAGATTCTTTCTTGTCTTTTTTTTTTTTATCATGTGATTTTATTATTTTGAACAAAAACGGATACATTTCAATCATTAGAATATGGGATGTTACCAGCTTTTGTTTATATTCTTTACTCTAAAATTATTAAATTGTATTTAACTGTCTTAATTATAATTAACATGCTTAAATCAAAAACATGAGTGTATGAAACAATTTTTTGTAAAAAATATAAAAAATTAAAAAGCTGCAAAGACTTTTTGTTCATTAAGTTCGAGAGTCTTATATTTTTATTACTATCATAACTAGATTATTTCTTTATACCCTATTTTTAATCATTTTAAACGCTATTTTTATTTTTTATCATTTTAAAATATTACTATATTTCCCACAATTTATTAAAAACTGAGGGTTCATTTTTCAAGTCTATTTATATTTTTATACAATACACGCGCACTTACTATATATTTTAGTGAACTATATGTAATTTGAGAAATTTTAGGCGTTGGCACTCTTTTAATCGATGATTAAACTCATTATAATTTATAGGTAACCAATAATTATAGAAAAAAAAATAAAGTGTATACCTGATACTAAGACAGCTAGCTGGTAATAACGCAAAAATTTGAGATACATGTTAAAATTTTATAATATTTAGTTTACTACACAGTATTGGTAATTATAAAACATATTTTATGGATTTATGTTTTCTTATTTCAATGCGTATTAACTTCAAATCACTTAATATACCAATAATATAATATTGTTTTTAATATAAAATACATTTAGCTATAATATGCTATAATATACATTTACTGTTTAGTTAATTTGACATCACTGTTTTCGTTTTCTCATCGATATTTATTTGTCTATTCTTCACTCGAGTGCGAGTTAATACCTATATATAGTTATACATAACAACTATTAAATACAGTGCATAATATGTAAGTCGTAATATTATAATTGTGTGCACTGGATTCAAACGGCATTCATTATTTTTCATAAAATACGAAAACAATAATACAATTCCAATTTTACAAGTTACACCTTCTAAATTATTAATTATTATAATATAATCTGATAACTATCATAAACATACACATGCATTGTACAATATGTAAATTGCAATTCATTATAAAATATAAGCAGAGTGTTTCACCAAACATATTCTTCCTTTTTATACCTTTTATTTATTTATATATATATTTTTTAAATGTTTTAACGTATAACTCGTTATTATACAAGTTTAATACATTTTTATATTATTTACATATATATATATATATATATTTATTTTAATTATTTGTTATACTTGATATTATAGTAATTAGTAATGATCCTTTATTAATATAAATATAAATTAAGTGTAATATTTAGTCAAGTACTTATTTTAAATACTTAATAATGTTTATCAATTATAAAATGTAATAAATGAGACTAATATTAATTATTAATTAATTCCTATAATTTTAAAATTTTCATGGCTGATATTACAGATTATTATTATTAGTTTTCATTAATTTGAATAATTTAGAAATTACTCGTTTAAATTTAAATTTATATGTTCATATAAAAAATCAAAATTCTTTGAAAAAAAAGTCAACTGTTCAATAACTTACAGAAAAAAATGTGATTTCCGTTTGAAAAAAAAATTAGCTTATAATGCAACAGGATATTCTTCAAACAATATTAATTAAATTAATTGTACTTACGTTTCTCCTGCCCTCCCCCGCCATAACATTTTTTTTAAATTTTTTTTCATATATATAGCATGGAATTTGAATGAATTTGTATAATGAAAATTAGAAATTTTTACGGATTTATTTTCAAAGGAATAACCAAAATAGTGTGGGGAGGGCTGTAGAAACGTTTCTATAGCCCTTCCATAAAAAACTAATTTTTCTCAAGCAAATATTTAGTACGAAATTTCTACGAATTCGTACGACCAATCGCAAATTTTTTGGAAAATCTCTTCCCGGCAAAAAACGTGTTTTCAAAATTTCGCATTTCCCCGGCCCTCCCAAACCAAAAATCATTTTTTCCATAACAACCATCTATTATTAAAAATTTTATTTTATTTAATATTTTAATATTGGTACATTATAATTTATTATTAAAATATATCTACAAAAATATAATAAAATATACCAATTTATTTTTTAGTAATAATCTATTTGTTAATAATGTTTTTGTGAAACACCTGAAGGTACAATTATTACGTATTAATTGTTTTATTATAAATATATATATACCCTCTTAAAAAAATTGTTATTTACTTGAAAATTCCAAAAATTAGAATTCATTATTAAAGCAAATGCCAAATAGCAACAAACGTGAGTGATCATATTATCTGGTGCATCACAATACAACTGTACCTATATCGACACCGGTACTGTATAAAGTACTTGTTTAATGTTGTAATATATCATTTATATCTATCGGATTTTTGCATTATACTCTCAAAACGGCGTGTGTCATTCCGTGAGGAATAATCTTACTCGATTTCCCTTTTAATTTTCGATTGTTCTTTTTTCTTCAACCGTTTTATTCGTTTTAAATGTAATTGGAATCTCGTTACAAAAACGGTCACATATTATTATATTGATGCACGAAATTCGATTTCACGTGTTTTGACTGTTTCTTATTTTTTTTCTTTTTATGTTCTATCTAGAATAAAATAAAAATGACACTATATCATATACATCTGTGCGTAAGATGTATTTATATAAATGCGGTATTATGATTGCAAACAATTATTACTATTATACGGTATAAACGCTTTTATGAGTATTTTGTTATGACGTGAGGCGGTTACCGAGTAATGATAACATATATAATAATTTAAATTGGAATTTTTATATTAAAACGATAAAAACGACGTCAAACGTAATACGAATATTAACTATGCGTATTGTTATGTGGATATGTAAAAATTAAAAAGTTTCAACAATTGTATAATAGGTCTTCGAACGTCCACTTTCATGCGAATGTAAAACGCATATCTATTTTAGAAATTTTTAATAAAATAACAATAAAAGTAATATAACAAAATTATTGATCGGTTAAAATATATTGCATAGGTCTTAAAGTATTGGTGGATTTTAATTACACAGTATCACGAACAACATAGGTTCTATTACTAAAAATAATTAAACGTAAAAATTTATTAAAATATTTTAAATACCTACATAATTATATACATTACACTTATTACCTTAATTGGCTATATTGCTATTTATACTGCAATTTATAGGTATATTCCTTTATTATTTTAGAGGTTTATCGTTTACTATACACTACTTGAAATGTGTATTAATATTGTTTACATTTTTTTTTTTTTTTAATCACATTTATAGTACTAAATATTTATGATTTATATAATATTTAATAATATTTTCAGCTATAATGTCATGAAACGATAATATAATTATCTATTATTTTTATATGAATTATTTTAAGGGCATACCGAACATTTTACGTTTGTAAATACAAAAACTGAAGTTACCTCGATTGCTCTCTCGTTTTATTCTGGCCTTTTTGCGTATAACGGATGGTTAGTACCTATATAATATACCTACTGAATATTGGTAATCAATAAAATTTTATACCGTTGCTTATAATATTACATATATTTACAGTTTCTTCAAATGTACATGGGCATTAATTATTTACATACAATGATATTAAATGCATGCTAAATTAATAACAGTAACAATTGAATGCCATTTGATAAGAATTCCGCATGGGAATGGATGAAAAGTATAATTTGAATATTGCTCGGATATGTTTTTTGCGAATGCAGATTCGAAAATATTAAATATGGGTCATAGGCTATACCTATGAGTACTTAACGAAACCTGCCTATTTGATGAATTATGATTAATAATAAAGGAAAAAAATGCTTGTTCATGATCTATCCAAAATATTAACAACATAATATAGTACCTTTACTATAGAAAGTCCTAAAACGTAATGCGTGCATGAAATAGGTGATTTGGTTTTTTTTTCAATACTATAACGTGTCTAGATTGTTCAATTTTTTTCTTTTTTTAATAAGACGTAAAATAATTAATTTTTAAACAATTTTACTATAATAGTATCTGTCTGCCGAGTGCCGAGCTTGAAATATCAATACATATATTATTGTTAAATTTAATGTGGTAGATAACTTTATTATATAATTTATTACCAAATTAATATAAAAACAATAATTATTAGACGCAAATTTAAGTAAAAGTAAATTATACATTTAACATTATAGTTGTCGTCACAACCTCTCCTTAAATTTATTTTTGTGCTCGACCGATTTTTTACATAATTATAAATTAGTTTTATGTTGTAAAATATACAAATATTTAACCGGAAACTCAAATCATATTGAGATACTACGCATTATTATAATAATTTAAGAACTGTCGCAGTTTTATTTTACTATCGTCTTCAAAAAATTTATAATATTACAGGCAACTACATTGTTTACAAATCGGAAGAATATATTATACTTACTTATTATATTTTACATATTTAGTAGGTAATCCCCACAGCTGCAGTGGTGCATGTTTCCACGTTTTTTAAATTGCATATTTCGATGAAATTTCTATTAAGGTATAATATCATGATCGAGTGCGCAGGCTTTACATAGTATAAAAGTATAATATAATATTTTTATAAAACATTGCATGGTATTACGATTAAAAGGGTGCAACTGTAACGCGTAATTTTACAAAAGAAAAAAAAACGCACGTTCGATTTGTACAAAGTAGTATACATTTTTTTTTTTTTGCGTAATCATGTAATATGCTATTTAGACTAGAAAATGTCGCGACATTTTAATGTGGAATTTTCTCAATGGCTTCTTATTTTCAATGGGCTTGCAAACAAATGGAATTTGAAATTTATTTTCGTAATTTAATTTTCCGAATTTATTTCGACCAAGAAAATTTCGAAACAGTTCTAGTCTTGTGATTCATCTATCAAGTAATAGTTGGTAACTTATCTACTTGCAAATTCTTGAGACATACTACATTTACTAATTATTATAATACTATATACCGGAAAAAAGCTAATAATTTGTCTTGATTTCTTGATTATCATTTATTTTAAATGTAATGTTCAAATTGTCAATATAATTATTCTCTTAACACAGTTAAAACTATCATATTTTATTCGTTACTGTTGCCGCCCTAATCAATAACAATAATTAAATATACAACTAATATTTAATTATATAAAAACATGTATAGTCGTAAACAATATAATTATTTGATACTATATCATTCTATGCCCAATACAGGATTTCGGTATCATATTATACACACACGATTATACATTTTGTTGTTTTCTAGGAATTATTTAAACTTCGTGATTGAAGAATTAAAGGATCCTATACGGTTTGTAATTTTCCTTACTTAACATAGTTAAGTCATAACATCATTGACGCAAAATAATTGTGTTTTTATTTTTCCTTAGAAACCTGCCAAGAGCAATAGCAATATCATGCATACTAGTCACCGTCGTGTACGTCTTCACTAATGTAGCTTTTTATACAACTTTATCACCACAAGAAGTCCTGACTTCGGAAGCTGTCGCTGTTGTAAGTATTTTAAACACATTTATCGGATAAATGATACAAATTAAACGATCCAAATTAAAAACATACATTGGACCAGAAAATATGCTGGACCGATTTTCATGATTTTTTTTTTTTTTAATAAAGTGTTAGGTGTGCAGATTAGCCATCTAATGAAAAAATTCCGAAATTTATCAATTAAATTGTTTTTGAAGATATTTAGTTTTCCGTGTATTTGTGTAGTGACGTGCGTTGTTTGCCGTACCTGTACACACACACAGCGCTACAACCCCCACTACTCTTACGTTAACTGTAGTCTGCAGCAATATTGCGTCGTCCGATCGTCGTCGCACACAATTGTGACACGTAAGTCACACCAACCCCCTTTTTAAAAATATGGAAATTATATTATACTATCATGTAGTACGTCATTTGTACGAAATTGAACACAGTGGCCTAGAGTTTGTTTAACAAAAAGGGGCTAAGTTACATCAAAAACCCTCCTCACTCCATCACACTCGAAAAATATATTTTTTTGCAAATCTTTTGCGCTCATTGTGTAAATTTATATAAAATATTCCAAAGATCTTATATATTTCTTAAAGGATATATCCCAAAGATCTTTTATGTTTCTTAGAGAATATATCCCAAAGATCTTATATATTTATCAAAGAATATATTCCAAAGATCTTCTAGATTTCTCAAAAAATATATACCAAAGATCTTATAAATTTATCAAAGAAAATTTCCCAATGAGCTTTTATATTTATCAAAGAAAATTTTTCAAAGAGTTTATATATTACTCAAAGAAAATTTCCCAATGAGCTTATATATTTATCAAAGAAAATTTCCCAATGAGCTTATATATTTATCAAAGAAAGTTTTTCAAAGAGCTTATATATTTATCAAAAAATATATTCCAAAGATCTTCTATATTAATCAAAGAATATATCCCAAAAATCTTATATATTTCTCAAAGAAAATTTTCCAAAGAGTTTATATATTTCTCAAAAAATATATCTCAAAGATCTTCTATATTTATCAAAGAATATATCCCAAAGAGTTTATATATTTCTCAAAAAATATATCTCAAAGATCTTCTATATTTATCAAAGAATATATCTCAAAGAGCTTATATATTTATCAAAGAAAATTTCCCAATGAGCTTATATATTTATCAAAGAAAATTTTTCAAAAATCTTATATATTTATCAAAAAATAAATCCCAAAGAGCTTATATATTTCTCAAAAAATATAACCCAAAGATCTTCTATATTTATCAAAGAAAATTTCCCAATGAGCTTATATATTTATCAAAGAAAATTTCCCAATGAGCTTATATATTTATCAAAGAAAGTTATTCAAAGAGCTTATATATTTATCAAAAAATATATTCCAAAGATCTTATATATTTCTCAAAGAAAATTTTCCAAAGAGTTTATATATTTCTCAAAAAATATATCTCAAAGATCTTCTATATTTATCAAAGAATATATCCCAAAGAGTTTATATATTTCTCAAAAAATATATCTCAAAGATCTTCTATATTTATCAAAGAATATATCCCAAAGAGCTTATATATTTATCAAAGAAAATTTCCCAATGAGCTTATATATTTATCAAAGAAAATTTTTCAAAAATCTTATATATTTATCAAAGAATATATCCCAAAGAGCTTATATATTTATCAAAGAAAGTTTTTTCAAAGAGCTTATATATTTATCAAAAAATATATTCCAAAGATCTTCTATATTTATCAAAGAAAATTTCCCAATGAGCTTATATATTTATCAAAGAAAGTTTTTCAAAGAGCTTATATATG